TATATATATATAGGGTATGTGGGAAATAATGAAATCAGATTTTTTTAACCAAAAATAGTTGCTAACATTTATATTATATGCCACCAACTATTCTAAGTGCTCAACTAATCCTCATAATGACCCTATGAGATAGTAGCATTATCATTAACTTCATTTTACAGATGAGGAAACTGAGACACAGAAGAGTGAAGTAACTTTGTCCAAGGTCACCCAACCGGCAAGCTGTAGTGTGATAACCCTACCTTGTTTTAACCTGAGTGACTCTCTCCTAGCAGAGAGAGCCAGACAGACTCCATTTTAGTTTCTTCACTTGCAGTCCCCTTTATCCCCCTTAAGGGAATAACTAGTGCAAGCTGACTCCAAGCACTTCCAGGAATGCACCTGCTGATAAGATATTGGGTCAGGCTGTACCAGCAGCTCCTGGGAATGTGCTCTGTGGAAGGTACTTAAAAGCCCCTGCATTTATCTCTTAGTGATAGTTTAAGCCCCTGCACCTGGAACTGTTTACTTTTTTGTAACTGCTTCTATAACCAATTAATTTTTTAAAACTTTTTGCCAATTCTGCTTCTGTAAAATTGTTTCCGTTAACCCCCACTCCCCTACTGAGACCATAGTATAAAAGAGAATCTAGCCCTTTCTTCGGGGCCGAGAGAATTTTGAGCGTTAGCTGTCTCTGAGTTGCCGGCTAATAAAGGACTCCATAATTTGTCTCAAAGTGCGGCGTTTCTCTATAGCTCGCTTGGTTACAACAGTAGAACCTACCCAGCCTGGCTTCAAAGTCCTTTAGTAAGTAGTCTGTGCCCAGTCAGGATAAGAAACTACACAGTAGGTCAAGCAAGGGAAGTTAAATGTAAAGAACTATTAATTATGTTAGCTGCACACGGCGGCGCGTGCCCGCGGTCTCAGCTACTCAGGAGGCTGAGACGGGAGGACCACTTGAGCCCAGGAGTTTGAGGCTGCAGTAAGTTATGATTGCGCCACTGCACTCCCGCAGGGTGACAGAGGGAGACCCTGTCCACCCCCCCAAAAAATTATTAACTATGATAAAGGCATAACTACAACATATAAGGAAAATCTATTCAGTACCTTACTGTATAGAGGGAAGTTAGGGAGAACCCTGGTTTTTGTGTCAAGAGGCTGAATAAAGATTATTGCCAGGCTAAAACTGCAAGGTTAGGGAGGGACCATGTTCTGAGTCTGGGGTCGGGGCAGACACCACGAGGATGTTCTCACCACCATACCCGCCCCACTCACTTTAAATGGAGCATTTAGACCATTTACATTCAATGTTAGTATTGAGTTGTGAGGTACCATTCCATTCATCATGCTTTGTTGCCTGTGTGCCTTATTTTTGTTTTTGCTTTTTAAATTGTATTTTTGTTTTATAGGTCCTGTGTGATTTATGCTTTAAAGAGGTTCTGTTTTGATGTGTTTCCAGGACTTGTCTCAAGATTTAGAGCTCCTTTTAGCAGTTCTTGTAGTGATGGCTTGGTAGTGGCGAATTCTCTCACCATTTGTCTGAAAAAGACCGTATCTTTCCTTCTTATATGATGCTTAGTTTCACTGGATACAAAATTCTTGGCTGGTAATTGTTTTGTTTGAGGAGGTTAAAGATACGGCCCCAATTCCTTCTAGCTTATAGGGCTTCCCACTCTAAAGGAGAAATGTTTACCAGAGTTGCTATATAGCATAGAGGCTATGTGGAAGTTTGTATTAGGGGCTGAGAGGCAATAAAATTGGTAATTGACACAGGAACTGGGCTCAAAGTCTTTAGGATTTATCGGCTTTGGGACTCAAGAGATTGGAAAATCAGACTGTGGATGGCTAAAATCAATGTAAACATCTCAGTTTTTATAATGGGAAGTACCCTGATTAGCTAGTTATCCTCATTGCAAATATAAACAATTCAGAAGACTGTAAAGTGTAAAGTCCTTGAAACTGAAAGTCCCTGATATTAATACTATTCATTCACCAGAGATAAATTCTATTTTTTTTCTTTTTTTGAGACGGAGTCTTGCTCTGTCGACCAGGCTGGAGTGCAATGGCACTATCTTGGCTTACTGCAACCTCCGCCTCCCGGGTTCAAGCGATTCTCCTGCCTCAGCCTCCCGAGTGTCTGGGACTACAGGCGCGCGCCTCCACGCCCAGCTAATTTTTGTATTTTTAGTAGAGACGGAGTTTCACCATTTTGGCCAGGCTGGTCTCGAACTCCTGACCTCGTGATCCACCCGCCTCGGCCTTACCAAGTGCTGGGATTACAGGCCTGAGCCACGGCGCCCGGCCCTAAATACTATTTTAACAATATGGTGTCTTTTCTTCCAGACTGCCAGTAAATGAACAAACACATGATTAACACAAAAAGGATACCATATGGACTCTTTAAACTTTTTTTTTTTCAAATTTACTATATCAGGGAATTAATATATCTTTTCGAGTCAATAGATATAGGTCTTCCAATTTAAAAGATTAAGTTACAATAGAGTGAGATTTGGGGTGCTATCCCTTTCGGAAAGCGTCCTCGATGCGGTCATATTGGAATTAACCTCCACTCCCCTCCTCTTCTCTGGGCTCCCGCGGACTCCAGGCTGAGTGCTGAAGTGTGGATTTTCACACCCAAACCTCTGTTATTTCAGTGTCTCACCTGGCTTCTCCACAGCGCAGAAGCTCAGCCCCAGGTTGGAAGAGCCTCCCCGGGAGATTCACAGCGAAGCGCTATTCAGGGCCCAACTCCAAGCCCAAACCTAGCTCCACCCTAAGCCGCCGCCAAAGACCCCTCTTCTCCCAAACCTCACCGGGGCCCCGCCCCTGACTCCGCCCACGAGAGCCCAAGCCTCCAGTCCTGCCCCACCCCGGGCTCCACCCACCAGCCGGGCTCCGCCTACCCGGAAGCACGCAGTCCTCCTCGTCCCGGGCTCCGCCCACCGGGAGCTCTCGCCGCTCACCCCCCCCCGGACCCGCCCACTTCGCTTGGGCTCCACCTTCCCAGGAACTGGCGCCGCTTGCCCGAGCTCTGCCCATGTCGTCCCGGGCTTCCCGCGCCGAGAACTCGTGCTGCTAGCCCCGCCCACCGCGCTCCTGGCCCCACCACCCGGAAACTGTCCCGGCCGCCCCGGGCTCCTCCCACCCCGCCCTGAGAGCCCGCGCGGGCCGCTACACGCCCGCCCTTTCCTACGTCTGGTCCAGTCAGTCTTCCTCCGGCGTCGGCGCTGGCCGAGCTAGCTGGCCATGGAGGGTAATGGCCCCACTGCCGTTCACTACCAGCCGGCCAGTCCCCCGCGGGACGCCTGTGTCTACAGCAGCTGCTACTGGTGAGGGGGCGCGGGCGCAGCCTCTGGGTCTCCCAGGCTCCCGGGCCGCGAGTTGCAACCAGGCCCCGCCTCTTCCCGGCCCCTGCTCGGGGGCGCTCCCGGCCTCTACCGGCGGGTTCTACAGTTCTGCGGGAGTAGGGAGCGGGAATGGCAGCTCTTGTCTCTTGAGTAGAGCGTGGGCTGTTGGATGGGGTTGGGAATTCGTCCGGAATCCTAGGGTCGATAGTGCATTACCTGTGCCTGGCGCTTGTCGGTTGGATTTGCTCAGCAGATCTCTGCTTCGGGGCTAGAAAGGGTGGAGCTCTGAAAACCTTTGGAAGTTACTCTGCTGAAGCATGTGGGGTTTCAGACTGAGGCGAAGGTCATTTTAATTTTGGAAGAGAATGGAAGCACAGAGAGTTTGGGATAACTTCCCAAGGTCACCCAGCTAATAGCAGCCAGGAATCCAGTTCGGGCTCTCTGGCACCAGAAACCATGATCTTAATCATGTTGTCATTATAATAATGGTTACATTCACACAGCACTTGCTATATGCCACGCGTTGTTCTGGGTGGTTTAGGTAAACTAAATCACTGAGTATCACAATAACCCTAAGAGGTAGGTATTGTTATCCCCAGTTTAAAGATGAGAGCACTGAAGCACAGAGGGCTGCAAGTAATTTGCGCAGGGCCACATCGCTTGTGAATGAAGGAGTGGGGATTTACAGGCAGAGTCTGGCCCCGGAGTCCATGCTCTGCACCCCTGTCCTAGGCCACCTCTGCAGCTGAAGCACCGCCCCTGCCTTGGTCCTTTTTCATTCCCATGCCTACTCTTTCCTGAGTAATGGTTTCTTCCCCAGCTTCTAGTCCTTGCACAGGAACCCTCAGTGCTATCTAAAACTACCCTTCCCCCTTCTGCTTGTCACTAAACCAATGCCACCGAACATTTGTTCGGCCCGGATTGCATGTGAGGCTCAGTGGCAGGTGCTTCCATCGATGTCCATGAGTAGCTTCTTTTACTATCGTTATCCTCATTTTACTAATAAAAAGAGTGAGCCACAGAGAGGCTGTTGTGTGCCCCCAAATCACACATCTAGCAAGTGGTGGTGCTGAAACTGGAACATCTTCGTGATTTTGAAGTTCATGCATCTTAACTGCTGCACTCTTTTTCTGTCCTGCCTCTTCTAAATCCCGTTAGTTCTCCTCCCTAATGTCCATTGTTTTATTCATTCATTCAATAAATGTGTATTAGGCACTTGGAGTATGTGGCACACTTCCGGGCACTGGAGATACAGCAGTGAACAAGATCGACAAATTCACTCATGGATCCCTTGGTTCTTGTATTTTGATGAGAGAAAAGCAGATAAGGTCCGGTGCGATGGCTCACGCCTGTAATTCCGGCACTTTGGGAGGGTGAGGTGGGCGGATCACTTGAGGCCAGGAGTTTGAGACCAGGCTGGCCAAGATGCAGAAAGCCTGCCTCTACTAAAAATACAAAAATTAGCCAGGTGTGGTGGCACACGCCTGTAATCCCAGCTACTCGGGAAGCTGAGGCAGGAGAATCGCTTGAACCCGGGAGGAGGAGATTCCTGTGAGCCGATGCCACTGCACTCCAGCCTGGGAAACAGAGCGAGACTCCATCTCAAAAAAAAAAGGCAGACAAAAACAAGTAAACCATGTTTGGGTGGTGTTAAGTGCTGTGAGAAAAATAAGATAAAGGATGGTGGCTTATTTTCTATTAGGATATTTTGAGAAGACGTTGTTGATAAGGTGATATTTGAACAGAGATCTGAAAAAAGAGGGTGAGAGCTTTGCAACTATTGGAGGATGGTCATTTAAGCAGGGAGAACAGCGGGTACAAAGGCTCTGAGAAGGAATTGTGCTGTATGATAGGAACAGTGAGGAGACTGGTACAATTGGAGTATTGGAGTTAGAGCAGTCTTGCAGAAGAATGGTAAGAGATGACCACTCTACCGCAGGATTTCTCCGCCTAGGTTCGAGTGACATTTTGAGCATGATAATTCTTTGCTATGGGGGCTGTCCTGTGTATTGCAGGACATGTAGCAGCATCCCTGGCCTCCACCCACTAGATGCTGTTAGCACCCTAGCTCTAGTTGTGACAACCAAAAATGTCTCCAGACATTGCTAAGTGTCCTGTAGGGCGTGGGGGGCAAAAGCGCCTCTTGCTGAGAATCAGTGCTCTACCCTGTCTGAACATGTCAGGTGGGGACACTGCACTACTTTGGCTCCTGCAGCTTTGTGGGTTTTTTTTATTTTTGAGACAGAGTCTCAGTCTATCACCCAGGTTGGAGTGCAGTGGTGCCATCTCGGCTCACTGCAACCTCTGCCTCCCAGGCTCAAGCCATTCTCCTGCCTCAGCCTCCCAAGTAGCTGGGACTACAGGCACCCACCACCATGCCCGGCTTATTTTTGTATTTTTAGTAGAGATGAGGTTTCACCACAGTGGCCAGGCTGGTCTCAAACTCCCGACCTCAGGTGATCCACCCGCCTCGGCCTCCCAAAGTTCTGGGATTACAGATGTGAGTCACCATGCCTGGCCATCCTGCAGGTTTTTAAACTTGAAATGAGTGCCTCCTGTCTACTTCTGTTAGCTTCTGTCATGTTAGCTTCCAGATGTTACTTATGCTTCAAGACCCTGCTTAATGATAATAGTGGCAGTTGGTATTTGTTTGGGACTGTGTCGTCGGCAGAGCATTTCTGATTCTGACTTGTTTTGTGTTTTTCAAACAATTGTAGAGTGCCTGCTTTGTGCTAGGGATCCCCGCGATCTGCATGCATCTGTGACCTCAGCTTATCTCTGGGAACCCCTGCAGCATCCCAACCTTTCTGCTACCAAGATGATCAGCTGACAGCTTGGGGCAAATCCACAGCCCGCCCGCCCACCCGCCCTTCCTTCCTCCCTCCCTCTCTCCCTTTTTTGAGTCACTTATGCTTTGTTTAGAGTCTAAAGAACATTTCAGATATTATCCAATCACATATTTTGTTTGGATTTTGATGTAATGATCCACAGCTCTTTTTTTCTTTTTTTTTTTTTGAATCATTTATGCTTTTGTTTAGAGTCTAAAGAACATTTCAGATACTGTCTAATCACATTTTGTTTGAGTTTTTTTTTTTTTTTTTTTTTTTTTTTTTGAAACAGAGTCTCGCTCTGTCGCCCAGGCTGGAGTGCAGTGGCCGGATCTCGCTCACTGCAAGCTCCGCCTCCCAGGTTCATGCCATTCTCCTGCCTCAGCCTCCTGAGTAGCTGGGACTACAGGCGCCCACCACCTCGCCTGGCTAGTTTTTTGTATTTTTTAGTAGAGATGGGGTTTCACTGTGTTAGCCAGGATGGTCTCGATCTCCTGATCTTGTGATCCACCCGTCTGGGCCTCCCAAAGTGCTAGAATTACAGGCTTGAGCCACCGCGCCCGGCCCTTGTTTGAGTTTTGATGTAATGATCCACAGCTCTTTTTTTTTTAATCATTTATGCTTTTGTTTAGAGTCTAAAGAACATTTCAGATATTATCCAATCACATATTTTGTTTGAGTTTTGATGTAATAAAAATCTTTTTTTTCCCCTTCCAGCTTTTATTTTAGATTTGGGGTTACATGTGCAGGTTTGTTACATGGGTGAAGTGTAAGTCTTGGGGGTTTGGTGTACAAATTATTTTGTCACCCAGATAGTGAGCATACTACCAGTTAGATGGTTTTTGATCCTTACCCTCCTGTCACCCTGTACCCTCAAGTAGGCCCCATGTCTACTGTTTCCTTCTTTGTGTCCATGTGTACTCAAGGTTTAGCTCCCACTTATAAGCAAGAACATTCGGTGTTTGCTTTTCTGTTCCTGCGTTAATTCACTTGGAATATTGGTCTCCAGCTCCATCCATGTTGCTGCAAATGACATGATTTTGGTTCTTTGTCATTGCTGTGTAGTATTCCACGGTGGATGATATATACCACATTTTCTTGATCCAGTTCACCATTGATAGGTACCTAGGTTGATTCTGTATCTTTGCTATCATGTATAGTGCTGTGATGAACATATGTGTGCATGTGTCTTTATGGTAGAAGGATTTCTATTCCTTTGGGTATATACCCAGTAATGGGATTGCTAGGTCACATGGTTGTTCTGTTTCAAGTTCTTTGCTAAATTTCCAAACTGCTTTCCACAGTGGCTGAACTAATTTACATTCCCACCAGGAGTGTATAAGCATCCCCTTTCCTCCACCACCTTGCCAGCATCTGTTATTTTTTGCCTTTTTTTTTTTTTTTTAAAGACAGGATCTCACTTGGTCACCTAGGCTTGCAGTGCAGTGGCATGATCATGGCTCACTGCAGCCTCACCTTCCTGGGCTTAAGTGATCCTCTCACCTCAGCCTCCTGAGTAGCTGGGAGTACAGGTGTGCACCACAGCTTTTTTGACTTCTTAAATTATTTTTATTTGTTTATTTTTATTTATTCTTTTTTTTTTTTTGAGACAGATTCTCACTCTGTAGTCAGGCTGGAGTGCAGTGGTGCAATCTCAGCTCACTGCAGCCTCCGCCTCCAGGGTTCAAGCAGTTCTACCTCAGCCTCCTGAGTAGCTGGGACTACAGGCACGCACCACCACACCCAGCGAATTTTTGTATTTTTAGTAGAGACGGGATTTCACCACATTGGCCAAGATGATCTCCGTCTCTTGACCTCGTGGTCTGCCTGCCTCGGCTTCCCAAAGTGCTGGGATTACAGGCGTGAGCCACCGTGCCCGGCCTGTTTATTCATTTTTTTTTTTGACACAGAATCTCACTCTGTCTCCCAGGCTGGAGTGCAGAGGTGCCATCATGGCCCACTGCAACCTTGACCTGGTGTCAATCCTCCCACTTCAGTCTCCCGAGTGACTGGGGCTACAGGTGTGCACCACCATGCCCAGCTAATTTTTATGTTTTTTGTAGAGTGGGGTTGTGCCATGTTGCCCAGGCTGGTCTTGAACTCTTGGGCTGAAGCAATCTTCCTGCCTTGGCCTCCCGAACTGTTGGGATTACAGATGTGAGCTACTGCACCTGGCCTGACTTTAATAATAGCCATTCTGACTGGAGTGAGATGGTATTTCATTGTGGTTTTGATTTGCATTTCTCTAATGACTACTGCTGTTGAGCATTTCTTCGTACACTTGTTGGCTGTGTGCATGTCTCTTTTTCCTTTTTTTTTTTTTTTTTTTGAGACGGAGTCTTACTCTGTTGCCCAGGCTGGGGTGTGGTGGCTCAATCTCGGCTCACTGCAACCTCTGCCTCCCGGATTCAAGTGATTCTCCCGGCTGAGCCTCCAGAGTAGCTGGGATTACAGGCGTGCACCACTATGCCTGTAAGTTTGGTGTTTTTTGTATTTTTATTAGAGACAACTAATAAAATTAAGTTTTGTATTTTTAATAGAGACGGTATTTCACCATGTTGGCCAGGCTGGTCTTGAACTCCTGACCTCAAGTGATCAAGTGTCTCAAGTTGCTGGGCCCAAAACTCATAGAATATTGACATTTTATCAGTTATAAAATGCCTCCATGTACAAGCACTGCTGGGGAAGGTAATCACCTCTATGTGGAGAGGGGTTTACACACAGTATAGGTTGAATACCAGCTTGTTGGGATGTTTTAGAGGAGATTCAAACGTTAGCTAGTTGTTGGATGGCATGGTGTTTAAGGTCTTTTCCCACTTTTTGATGCCATCATCAGTATTTTGTTCCAATTTAAAAGACACATAGATGCTGTCTCTTATACACATCTAGATGTGTATAAGAGACAGCAGTATAGGTTGAATACCAGCTTGTTGGGATGTTTTAGAGGAGATTCAAACGTTAGCTAGTTGTTGGATGGCATGGTGTTTAAGGTCTTTTCCCACTTTTTGATGCCATCATCAGTATTTTGTTCCAATTTAAAAGACACATAGATGTTCTCTAATCTTGATTAAACAATTATTTTATTTCAGTGAAGAAAATATTTGGAAGCTCTGTGAATACATCAAAAACCATGACCAGTATCCTTTGCAAGAATGTTATGCTGTCTTCATATCTAATGAGAGGAAGATGGTAAGTTGGTGAGTGAGTGCAGGAAGAAAACGAGATTTAACATGACGTTAGAAGCTAAATTAAATTAAAAAAAAAGAAGCAAAATATAGCATGGGTGTAGTACTCTTCTGAAGTGTGCTTTATAAAATACAGCAACATTTAAAAGTTTTCTTTTTGAATGAGATTTTTTTCGTTACAAGGCATGATTGAGTTAGATGAGTTGAGTCCCTTCTGTTGCCCAGGTTGGAGTGCAATGGTGCAATTCTTGGCTTACTGCAACCTCCACCTCCCGGGTTCATCTCCTTCCTCAGCTTCCCGAGTAGCTGGGACTTACAGGCATGTGCCACCACGCCCGGCTAATTTTTATATTTTTCAGTAGAGCTGGGGTTTTGCTATGTTGGCCAGGCTGGTCTCGAACTCCAGGCCTCAAGTGATCCTTCCGCCTTGTTCCCACAAAGTGCTGGGAGTACAAGCGTGAGCCACCATGCCCAGCTTAGTCCCTTATTTTAGGTAAGGAAATTTGTGATGGTCTATACAGATTAAATCTTTTCTTTAGGCATTAATGTGGACCTGGTTTTTTTGTTGCTGTTGTTGTTTGTCTTTTATTTTCTTTTTTGATATGGAGTCTCGCTCTATCGCCCAGGCTACAGCACAATGGCACGATCTCGGCTCACTGCAACCTCTGTCCACCAGGTTCAAGGGATTCTTGTGCCTCAGGCTCCCGAGTAGCTGGGACTGCAGGTGCCCACCACCATGCCCGGCTAATTTTGTATTTTCAGTAGAGACAGGCTTTCTCCACGTTGGCCAGTCTGGTCTCCGACTCCTGACCTCAGGTGACCTGCCTGCCTTGGCCTCCCAAAGTGCTGGGATTACAGGCGTGAGCCGCTGTGCCTGGCCATTTTTTTTTTCTTTTTTTAAATTCAAGATGGAAGATGTAGACTTTTAAAAAATTGCTTAGATATGCATACTCTCAGTTTTAAAGTAAGGATTTGTCTCTGGAGTTTAAATAGAACTACAGTCAACTTATATGAGGAATTAGAAAAAGGAAGCCCTTCGTATTTTGTAAAACACGTTTGCAGGCATCATCTCATTTGATCCCAATGGAAGCCCTGTGAAGGCAGGCAAGGTTTGGACAACTTTCTTCATTTTATAGATGAGAAAATTAAGACTTAGGGTGGCCCTATGAATAATTAAATGGGAAAGCAAGACTTGATACCTGCAAGGACTTCTGATTCCTAGTTCAGATCCCTTTTCACTCTCCGAAGACCATCATACAATAACTTGTGCTCTTGAGAGCTTTCATTCTTGGGGATACTTAGAAGGATTTAGATTTCTTCCTCTTCACTCATTCTTTCACCTTGATTTTTGCATGCTTAAAAATATTTTATTTCTCATGTATGTATTGCTTTAAAGAATTTAGTAGTAGCCAGGTACAGTGACATGTGCCTGTAGTCCCAGCTACTTGTGAGGCGGCTGAGGTGGGCAGATCACTTGAAGCCAAGAGTTCAAGGCTGCGGTGTACTATGATGGCACCTGTGAGTAGCCATTGCACTCCAGCCAGGGCAGCAGCGCAAGATCCCGTCTTGGCTGGGCGCAGTGGCTCACGCCTGTAATCCCAGCACTTTGGGAGGCCAAGGCGGGCAGATCACTTGAGATCAGGAGTTCAAGACCAGCCTGGCCAACGTGGTGAAACCCTGTGTCTATCAAAAAAATATATAAAAAATTAGCCGGCTGTGGTGGTACACACCTGTAATCCCAGTTATTTGAGAAACTGAGGCAGGAGAATCGCTTGAACCCAGGAGGCAAAGGTTGCAGTGAGCCCAGATTGTGCCACTGTACTCCAGCCTGGGCGACAGAGCAAGACTCTGTCTCCAAAAAAAAAAAAAAAAAAAAAAATCCCATCTCAAAAATAAAAAGGGAAAATAATTTAGTAGTGGTTTAACTGAAGGCATGGCTTATGAAATGTATTGTGTTTTGTAGATACCTATCTGGAAACAACAGGCGAGACCTGGAGATGGACCTGTGATCTGGGTAAGACAGTTAATACAGAGAGTATTGATGCATTGTGACTTGTAACCCCTTAGTGTTCTGTATGTTTTGGTAAAGCATAAGTGACCTGAGCAGTAGATAAAGGCTGTGATAATTATTAATAAACTGACCTTTTGAGAATAGATGTTATTTGGTCTAAGGTAGAAACACTGTAGGCATATATTCTTTTAACTTTTTGTTTTGAAATTGTTATAGGAATGATTTTAAATGGTGGATATATTTGTGATCTCCTAGACTCTTACCATTTAGCACAGGAAGGAACTTTGGCTACACATTAGAATTATCTGGAGACTGTTAAAAATGTAGTTTTTGGCTGGGCGCAGTAGCTCATGCCTGTAATCTCAGCAGTTTGGGAGGCCAAGGCAGACGGATCACTTGAGGCCAGGAGTTCAAGACCAGCCTGGCCAACATGGCGAAACCCCATCTCTAATAAAAATATAAATATTAGGCTGGGCGCAGTGGTTCATACCCTGTAATCCCAGCACTTTGAGAGGCTGAGGCAGGTGGATCACTTGAGGCCAGGAGTTCGAGACCAGTCTGGCCAACATGGCAAAGCTCCGTCTCTACTAAAAAAAATACAAAGATTAGCTGAGCGTGGTGGCACGCACCTGTAGTCCCAGCTACTTGGCAGGTTGAGGCAGGAGAATTGCTTGAACCCGGGAGGTGGAGGCTGCAGTGAGCTGAGATTGCGCCACTGCACTCCAGCTTGGGTGACTGAGAGAGACCCTGTCTCAATAAATAAATAAATAATGTAGTTTTCTGATTTAGTAAATCTAGAGAGGAGTTCAGGAGTTCGTGTTCTTGATGAACTCCCAGGTGAACATGACTGGCATTTGAAAAATACAGATCTACTCCCGCCCCTTTATTTTTCAGGGAAGAAATAAACACAGAAGAGCAAAGTGAGTAGCTCAGAGTCGCATGGTCAGTGGCAGAACTGGGTCTCAGACCTGGGTCCTTTTTAGTACACATCTACATGTCACCTTAACCCGTTCCCCTAAAGAATGGAGGCCAGGGTTGGGCATGGTGGCTCATGCCTATAATCCCAGAACTTTGGGAGGCTGAGGTGGGTGGATCACCTGAGGCCAGGAGTTCGAGACCAGCCTGGTTAACATGGTAAAACCCCGTCTCTACTAAAAATACGAAAATTAGCTGGGTGTGATGGCGTGTGCCTGTAATTCCAGCTACTCAGGAGGCTGAGGCAGGAGAATCGCTTGAACCTGGGAGTCAGAGGTTGCAGTGAGCCGAGGTAGCGCCATTGCTCTCCAGCCTGGGCAAGAAGAATGAAACTCCATCTCTAAAAAAAGAAAAAAAAAATGGAGTTTTTATGCTAATAAACACGAAAACAAAGTGAAAGTAAAACAACACTGATGAAATGTAACGAACTCCTAGTTTCTGGGTATTTATTTAAAATTATGTATCATTTGATTGGCTTCACTCATTTATTTAACATGTATATATTGAGTGTGTTTTATATGCCGGGCTAAAAACAGATGAAAACCCCTGGCCTCACAGAGCTGACGTTCTCAGTTCCATTGCCAGCAGGTGATCTTGCATGAAAGCTGCTCTTGCATGAAAGCCCAAGCCCCTCAGCTCTGGGGTTAGGAGCATGGGCTCTGGAGTCAGGCATACTGGGTTTAAGTCCAAGGCCTCTCATTGGTCAACTGTGGGATCCGGATAGGTTATTTACCCTCTCTCTTCAATGTCTGCCACTGGTCAGTGGGGTCGTGAGGCTTAAGTGAGATAATGCACAGGAAGCATCTTCCTGGTGTCTGCTACTGGTACTCAGGAAGTGTTGGCAGTTACTGTTAGCAGTGGTACCAAACCCCTGTTACAGACGGTCTGTGTGCACGAGAAGTCATCCTTGTTGCTGAACAGCTTAGCTGATTTTGGGTGGTGGTCTCACTCCCCATCCTAGGGAAACTTGGAGGGGAAGGACCTGTAGCCATGTCCGCCTTACACATCTCATAGCAGCTCAAGGTAGGGAATCCTGTTGCAAGAAGTCTCCCCACACCCTCTGGCAGGTTTTTCTTTGTTTCGCTGCTGTCCTGTTGTAGGGTATGGGTAGGCCTTGCTGAGTGAGTAGAGACACCAGTGAGTAGTAGTGAGTACAGTTCAAGAACACTAAATCGTGAACCCCTTTCTAGATTTACTAAATCAGAAAACTACATTGTTAACACAGTCTCTGGATAATTCTAATGTGTACCCAGACTAAATATTGCCAAAGTCCCTTCCTATGCTAAATGGATAAAAGTCTATGACATCACAAATATATCTACCACCTTAGCCATTTAAAATCATTCCTATAATAATTTCAGGTCAGGCGTGGTGGCTTACACCTATAATCCCAGCACTTTGGGAGGCAGAGACAGGCAGATCAACTGAGGTCAGAAGTTCGAGACCAGCCTGATCAACATGGTGAAACCCCATCTCTATTAAAAATACAAAAATCAGCCACATGTGGTGGCGGGTGCTTGTAGTGCCAGCTACTTGGGTGCCCGAGGCAGGAGAATTGCTTGAACCTGGGAGGCAGAGGTTACAGTGGGCTGAGATTGCACCACTGCACTCCATCCTGGGTGATACAGTGAGACTTCATCTAAAAAAAAATCGTTCCTATAATTACTTTCTTTTTTAAAATTTTATTTATGTATTTATTTTTTTGAGGTGGAGTCTCTGTCACCCAGGCTGGAGTGCAGCGGTGTGATCTCGGCTCACTGCAACCTCTGCCCCCCAAGATTTAAGCAATTCCCCTGCCTCAGCCTCCCAAGTCACTGGAATTACAGGCATGTGCCACCATACCTGGCTAACTTTTTTATTTTTAGTAGAGATGGAGTTTCGCCATGTTGGCCAGGCTGGTCTCTGAACTCCTGACCTCAAGTGATCTGCCCACCTCGGCCTCCCAAAGTGCTGGGATTACAGGCATGAGCCACTGCACCCGTCCTCCTATAACAATTTCAAAACAAAAAGTTAAAAGAAAATATGCCTATAATGCTTCTATCTTAGACCAGATGACATGGAGCAGATGGTGGCATCTGTAGGTGACATCCCTGCTTCTAGCACAGTCAGTCTTTTCCTGGCCGCTGGGCAGACACTGAACCAACTCAGAGAGTGAGGCTGCTGCTCAAGCCTGCATTCCTTGGCTCCTCATTTGTGCCGTGAAGGCAATTTTGGGCCAATGCTTTTCCTTTGCAGTCCCTCAGCTGCCTAGTGTATAGGAATGTGGACCTGAGCTTACCAGAAAGTTGTAAATAGTCACTGTTTATGCCTTTTCACAAGTTGTACCTTCTTTCTGGAAAGCTGTCCCCATCAGGCAAGATTCCGCAATGGGGTCCTTTCCTCTGTGAAACTCTCCTTGGCCATTGGGCTCCTGTCCTCTTCCTTTCTTGGTTGGCTTTAATTTTTTATTTTTATTTATTTATTTGTTTTTGAGACAGAGTCTTGCTCTGTTGCCCAGGGTGGAGTGCAGTGGCATGATCTTAGCTCAGTGCAACCTCCGTCTCCTGGGTTCAAGCGATTCTTGTGCCTCAGCCTCCCGAGTAGCTGGGGCTACAGGTGCACACCACCACGCCCGGCTCATTTTTGTATTTTTAGTAGAGACGGGGTGTCACCATGTTGGCCAGGCTGGTCTCGAACTCCTGACCTCATGTGATCCACCTGCCTTGGCCTCCCAAAGTGCTGGGATTATAGGCGTGAGCCACCATGCTCAGCCTTTGGTTGTCTTTTAAAAGGGTTGACCATTTACACACTAAGGCTTCTAGGAGCACTGTGAGGTAGACCAGGCTTGTCTAACCTGCAGCCTGGAGGCTGCGTGTGGCCCAAGACAGCTTTAAATGCAGCCCAACACAAATGTGTAAACTTTCTTAAAACAATATGAAATTTTTTTGTGATTTTTTTTTTTTTTTAAGCTTATCAGCTATCATTAGCATATTTTATGTGTGGCCCAAGACAGTTCTTCCAATGTGGCCCAGGGAAGCCAAAAGACTGGACACCCTTGAGTTAGTCACTCCGGTTATCTCCATTTTATAAAAGAGGAGACTGAGGCTGCCGAGGGGAGGGGCTGAGATTGGAACCAGGCGCTTACCTGCTCCTGCCTGCGTTGCTCTCCGCCTCTGATGTTCTCTATTCTCTACAATGTCCTGCAGCAGTTTACCTGGTTCCCACTCACTTCTCTGGGAACTTCTTGAGGGTGAGAACTTATCTTTTTCATCTTTGCATCTGCAGTTCAGCAGCATAGTCTTTCACATAGAATAGAGAGGGTGCGGTTCAAAAAAACTGATATGGGCACAGTGGCTCACACCCATAATCCCAGCACTTTGGGAGGCAGAGACAGGCAGATCACTTGAGGCCAGGAGTTTGAGACCAGCCTGGTCAACATGGTGAAACCCCATCTCTACTAAAAATACAAAAATTAGGTGGGCTTGGTGACGTGCCTATAATCCCAGCTACTTGGGAGGCTGAAGTGGGAAAATTGCTCGAACCCCAGAGGCGGAGGTTGCAGTGAGCCGGGATCGTGCCACTGTACTCCAGCCTGGGTGACAGAGAGAGACTCTGTCTCAAAACAACAACAACAAAACACACCTGTAATATGAATTAGAAGGTGTTAAGAGAGAAACAGAATTTGAGTGAGGCAGCGATTCTGGCAGGGGGTGGGAGAAGATAAAACATTGATTCATGGGAAGAAAACCTTTAGCTGGAGCTTGTGTGGTGGGAAGAGGTAGAGAAGGTTGCTGCAGATGGAGGGGAATGACATGAGCAGGCCCAGTGGGAGGCAGTGGTGGACTGTTTGGGGGCATGGAGGGTAGGATACATCTGGGGAAGTCCAGAGAATAGGCATTCATTTGTTAATCTCTTTCTCTTTTGCTAAGATAGACTTAGAGCCAAAGGCAGCACTCAGGCTTTTAAAGGCACAACATCCCTAGTCTTAAGTATTGTTCCTACCTCATAGGATTTATACAAGGCTCAAATAGAATGATACTTGAGAAAGAAAGTGCCTTTTAAACTCTGAAATACTGTGGAAATATAAGATGGTATTACTAATGTTGCTAGGTTGCGTTGATTTCACAGTGCTGTTCTCTATGAGAGCATTTTTCTTTGGAAGAACTCAGAGCACCACATTGCTCATGTCCCTTGATCACCTCCCTGAAATCCCTTTCAGCTCATCGCCGGTGTTGGGCAGTACCTTGAGTCTGAGAGTGAGGGTGAGAATTAACATCCACGCCGTGACAGAGCTGTGTGGGAAAAGCTGTCTTTTTCTTTCTCCTTTAGTGGCTACAGATGAAGGCTTGGCTAACTTCTTTTTCTAAAAAATAGTTTTTCCTTTCTTTTAATTGCAAAAGTGGTTCCAAACTAGAAATTAAAATCCTCCTCCTCTCCAGGCTGACCCCCAGAAGCCTGCTTTGTTATTAGTTTGGAGGACATCCTTGCAGACGTTTTCCTCTGCATTCGCATGCATGCAAATGTACTTCTGAATGCGCACATGTGTCTTTATATACAGGTAGCTTTTAACAAATAGCAGGTGGGGCCGGCACAGTGGCTCACACCTGTAATTCCAGCACTTTGGGAGGCTGAGGCGGGGGGATCACTTGAGGCCAGAAGTTGGAGACCAGCCTGGCCAACGTGGTAAATCACCATCTCTACTAAAAATACAAAAATTAGATGGGCGTGGTGGCGGGCATCTGTAGTCCCAGCTACTCAGGTGGCTGAGGCAGGAGAATCGCTTGAACCCAGGAGGTGGTGGTTGCAGTGAGCTGAGATCATGCCACTGCACTCCAGCCTGGGTGATAGAGCAAGACTCTGTCTCAGTAAAAAAAAAAAAAAATAGGTGGAGCTGGGTGCAGTGGCTCATGCCTGTAATCCCAGCACTTTTGGAGGCTGAGGCAGGTGGATCACCTGAGGTCAGGGTTTCAAGACCAGCCTGGCCAGCATGATGAAACCCCATCTCTACTAAAAATACAAAAAATTATCTGAGTATGGTGGTGCTCACTTATAATCCCAGCTACTCGGGAGGCTGAGGCTGGAGAATTGCTTGAACCCGGCAGGTGGAGGTTGCAGTGAGCTGAGATCATGCCATTGCACTCCAGCCTGGGTGACAGAGTAAGACTCCATCTCAAACAAAAAAGTTTCCTAGAGGTAAAATTGCAGGTTCAGAGGATGTTGAGAGGATGTGCATTTAATGACTATGAACAGTTCCATTATTTATTTAACCATTTCCCTATCTGTGGACATTTAATGTTTTCAGGGTGTTGTGTTTGCTTTATTTTATTTTGCTATTATAAGGAGGGCTGTAGCAGTCTTATATCCTTTTTAGTGATAATGTGTGTGCCTGAATACTGGGATTTCATCATTATGAAGTAACTTGGTTAACTTTAGCAACTTTTACTTCTAGGATTACCATGTTGTTTTGCTTCATGTTTCAAGTGGAGGACAAAGCTTCATTTATGATCTCGATACTGTCTTGCCATTTCCCTGCCCCTTTGACACTTATGTAGAAGATGCCTTTAAGTCTGATGATGACATTCACCCACAGTTTAGGAGGTGAGGACATTCAGCATGGATTTACTTATTTTCTGAAGTAAGACTTTGACGATTCCCCAGAGGTTCTTTTTTTTGACAGTTGTTTTGTAAAGATCTCGTCTGGCATCACCATTGAGTTGATGTTTAAGAATGATGTATTTGCAACACAGGAGATTCAAAATGTTTTAAAACTTTAAAAGTTGGCCGGGCGCGGTGGCTCAAGCCTGTAATCCCAGCACTTTGGGAGGCCGAGACGGGCGGATCACGAGGTCAGGAGATCGAGACCATCCTGGCT